GTGGAGGTCAGGTAAAGTTTTGGGTTTACAGATTTTCTAGCAGTATAGTACTAGTTCTTCCGTATTATAAAAGTTAATGGATAACTGATTCATTCTTCTTTTAGGTGTGTGGGTCCCGCGAAGGTGTCTGGATCGTAGTGAGAAGTGATTTCGAGGACGAAATCGAATTTAAGTTGGGGAGATTTCTAACGCCTGGATCTTGAGGTACTCTATTCGTAATTAATTATCATTTGGAGGATTGACACGATGTGGTGGAGGCACCACTACGACGTGGCGAAGCGAGAAGGGTTCCCGTGTTTTATTTAAGCCACCACGGCGTGGCAGTATTGGCCATGGTGTGGTGGACGATTAACGTGAAAACCCTATTTCCGGGTTTTCTCCTTATTTAAAGGAATGAGGAGGCTAGAGTTTGCTCATCCTCAACCTCCATCAGCCCCATCAAGCCCTAAAAAAAAGCCCTAATCTCTTTCCTCCATTGTTGAGCTAGTTTTGGTGTTTCTTGAAGCTAAAGAAGGAAGAAGGAAGCAAAGATCAAGAAAGAAAGTCTCCATTCTTCACCTTAGCACTCTTCAGGACCTTTATAAGTGTCCAAGACTTGATTTTTATCATGCTAGGTTGCTAGATCTTGAGTTTCGTCCCATAAACTTCTTGTTTTTGCTTATTAAAATGATGAGATCTCTTAAAGTTTGCAACTTTATGAATCTCTGGTGCATTTGGTGTAGTTTGTGCCTTGGATCTGGAGTTTGGTTGGGTTTTCAATCCATGCATGTGGTTTTAGTCAAAACCCTCATTTTGACCTAATATAGGTTCAAGACATGCATTGGACATGCATGTAAACAAAGCAACAACTTTTAGGTTAGTTTTGGTGCTAGAATCACTTCTAGAAAGGATGGACTTCAGACCTTATGGAATAAGTGCTTATTGGTTAAGTTTTTGCATTGTTAAGCCTTTTGGGACATAGAGATTCTGGTTTTGGACCCTTTGGGTGGTCCTAATGGATAAAGTTAGAAACTTTATCCTTCTAGATCACATTTTGGACCAGATATGAGCTTTGGAGCCCTTGGAGTCGAAGAAAACTGCTTAATGCATTAAGCTGTCGGAACCTCGGCTACCACAATGTGGTCCTAGGTCACTACGACATGGCGACTGGGATTTTCCCGACTGTTTGGTCGTATGCGGGCCACGACGTGGCCAAGGAAGACCACGTCGTGGCGGTCGGCTGGAGACAACACTGACTGTTGACTTTGACTGTGGTCCTTGAGGGTTGACTTTTGACTTGTATACTTTTATTCAGCTATTAATAAGTAGATTAAAGTCTTGCCTTGTGTGATTATGTAAGTGGCATTTAGCACATGTTGTGGGATTTTGAGAGCGTGTTGACTTTTGAGCTGCTTTGCGAGGTGAGTCTCCTCACAGTAATTATGGGTCGAAGGCACCAATGTCAGTCCATTGGATTATGTTATCGTATGCTAGTTGTGTTTGTGACTCTTGCATGTATTGTATGTGTTTGTATGTATACCGGGCGGGGCCTAATGAGTGTGTTGGGTGGGGCCCATCGCACGTTACTGACAGATCTGTTCCGGGCGGGGCCCGATGGTTGTCGGGCAAGGCCCATTGTATGTATGGTATGTGGTATTTTGGGGAACTCACTAAGCTTTGTGCATACGGTTTATGTTTATGGTTTCAGGTACTTCCCGTTTGAAAGGGAAGGTCGGGCGTGACTGCACAACATCCCCCAGAGTTTTCCGCATTGGCAAATTATGACCTTTACTCTAATGTTTAAATAATATATTCACTTTGATTGGTTTTGGAACAAATCATTTGCATGATTTATTTAAAAATAAAAATTTTACTTTGAATTTTTGGGTTGTTACAGGAATATTCATGTTTCGTCGGAGTCTCGCCGGAGAAGGTGACTGGAGAGTCATCGAAGAGGACAAAGACACCGTAAACCTTCAATAACTGGTGATAACCGGTCAAAAGGGTTATGGTGAACACGAACACCAAGTTAGATGATATATTGCGTACAAAAAAATGGACCAAATGTGAACAAAATCAACATTTGGTTATCTTCTTGAGTCATTTTCCCTTGTTATTATTTGTAAGTTAAAAGCTACGATTTTGAACCATTATGCATTTATATAAGTTTTATCTTATATTCTTTTATAAGAAAATATATCGATCTTATTTTGTCCTAAGAAACTATTATGTAAGATAAATAAACGGTCGTTAAAATAGACGAGTCTTTGCCCTTTAGATGAAAAAAGTGTCTTTGGCGTGAGTTGGTCATGTAAGCATGATGTGTATTAGAAACAAGCAAATGAGACATTATAATGCATAGTTATGCAGGATATACGTTAAAGCCTTAAACAACTACTAGATAATGCTAAGGTCACTTTAGATGTGAGTCTTGGAGCGTAGGCTCACAGGTAATGCACATTGCCATTGATAAAATTAATAATTCCAATAAACTACATGGTCTCGATATTGTTAGACTCAATGCTCCAATATTACCATTTAAACAAGTTGCCATCACCACAAACGACTCTCATTTATGTTATTTGAGTAGCACACGATAGTTTCCTCTATTTATGAAATATGGTATTAGACTCTGTTAAGAACAATATTATAACATAAGTGTTAGGCTTGAGACCATGAATTTGTTATGTGACAAACTATAGTAACTAGAAACATCATCTACTGATGTTCAACATTGATTAAGTATAAAATACATTTTTCGTTAGGACCATGATCAGTTGATGAGAGTAGATTACCAACTACATGATGTGGTCAAACATATAAAGATAATTCTAGAAATGAAGCTACAAAAGGTTAAATATAATCAAATCAAGGAGTGGTCAAGTTGTCCAACACCTATTTTTAGTTCTCCTTTATTTCTATTTCCCATCAAATGGCCTATGTTTAACAAAGTCCAACTAATCTCACGAGGAATCCAATGTTTCACAAGATGAAGCAACACATCCATATGAAAAAACCACTTCAACAGAGAGTTTATTAGTAATTGCATTCTATTCTTGAAGCAAATCCTTATTATGACAATCCCACAAGATATGTTTACCAAGGTAGTGACAACTGATAAATTGAAGTTGTGGCCTTCTAGATAATTGATGAGAAGACGAAAGACTAGAGATGAGCTTACATAGTTGTGGGTTTACATGAGGTACACACCTTGGAAGACAATTTGGTTGGTGATCAGCCTCAAAGTGTGGACATTATTGAGTTGTGAAGATTGATTTGTTCTGAACCTGATCGTTGCTACTGCAACCAAGCATGAAGCCCGTTATATATATATATATATATATATATATATATATATATATATATATATATATATATATATATATATATATATATATATGAAAGGTTATTTGGAAAACAAAAAAACCCTAAAAATTATAAAAATGCATAAAAAAATACCAAGACATCACAAAACTTTTTTTTGAATTTTTTTATCAAAAAATCGCAGCATTTTTTACAATTTCGCTTAAAAAAAATAAATAAAAAATCAATTTTTTTTTTTGCAAAATTTTTTTTCAACGATTTTGACCTAAAAGTTGCGATTTTTTGATAAAAAAATTCAAAAAAAAGTTTTGTGATCTTTAACTATTTTTTTTATGCATTTTAATGATTTTTAGGGTTTTTTATTTTCCATAGAACCTAAACCTATATATATATATATATATATATATATATATATATATATATATATATATATATATATATATAGGTTTAGGTTCTATAGAAAACAAAAAACCCTAAAAAAACCTTACAAATTATAAAAATACATTAAAAAAATACTTAGAGATCAAAAAACTTTTTTTTGAATTTTTTTATGAAAAAATCGCATGTTTTTAAATAAATTTGCTGCTTTTTTTTGAAAAAAAATTAAAAAAAAAGCTTTGATTTTTATTTTTTTTCAGCGAATTTATTAAAAAACTTGCGATTTTTTTATAAAAAAGTTAAAAAAAATGTTTTGTAATCTCTAACTATTTTTTTTATGCATTTTTTATGATTTTAGAGTTTTTTTTAAGGTTTTTTTGTTTTCCAAATAACTCTTCCCTATATATATATATATATATATATATATATATATATATATATATATATATATATATCTATATATATATATATATATATATATATATAGGGCGAGGTTCAATAGAGAACCATAATTAACCAAGAAACCAAGGAACAAATTATTTTTCAACTTTTAGAACTTATTTTTTATCAACAAAAAAACCTAAAAATACAGAAATTCATAAATTTTTATCCTTTTTCCAATTATATCAAATTCGAAAAAAAAATTCGTCAAATTCACAATGTGAATCTTTGAAAATTCACAATGTGAATCAAAATTCACACGGTGAATCCGAAAAATATATTTAACATTCACAATGTTATGTTATGAATTTAGATATTTTTAGTTTTTTTTTTTCGATAAAGAATAAGCTCTAGAATTTGAAAAAAAAAAATGGTTCTTTGGAGAACCAATAATTATGGTTCTCTATTGAACTTTTCCATATTATATATATATATATATATATATATCTATATATATATATATATATATATATATATATAGACAAAGTTGCAAAAATGGTCCCTATGGTATGCATTTTTTGGGGTTTTAGTCCAAACCATGACTTTTTTGGATTGGTGGTCCTTTTGAGCTAGTTTACATGTAGTTTTGGTCCCTGTCCAAACTAAAAAGACTAATATACCCTTAATGAATTTAATTTTCATTTTTCTTTCACTTTTTAAAATTATTATTATTATTAAATATAAAACCGGGCCCACCTCTCTCTCTCTCTCTCATCTTTTTCCTGCGGATCCATCACCCAAAACACCCACTCTCACTGAACCAGTGAAAAAGAAGGAAAGGACCGGTGATTCTTCGCCGGTAGTAGCAGTCCCAGCACCCGCTGTTAAACACGCCCGAAATTGTTGTTGTACTGTTCCGATACCCCTTCACAGCCCTCTCAACGACTGTCATCTCGTTCGTCTCCTTCCCCTGTCAAAGAACTAGAATAATCGGTGATGTTTTCCCGGTTCCCCACTGCCGCCACCTCCATATCCCCTTCCCTTCCTTTTTCTGCCAAGAAGCACCACCACAAGCACCCTCTTCGGGTGTTGCTACCCTTCTCAACCCCCACAACCCCGATTGAAGGCATGAACCGCCGGAAAAATCGACTCCTTCTTCGTGCTTCATAGCGAATCAAGAAAAGAAGAAATAAAGAAGATGTTGCTTGCGGTCCCTTTTCGTCTCCGAGCTGAGGGGAATCGAAGACCCATTCCCTTTCGTTTGACTGACAGACCAAACACAACCACAATAAGTCTCGATTTTCACCCTTATTGCTTGATTGAACTCCTTAGGACCACCGACAGTCGCTATTGGTTGATTCCCGATCAATCCTCTTTTCCTTTCTATGTTACAGATGATTGGACCAGAAGACGAAGTAGGTCGTCGGATCGGCCCTGCAGTGCCGACCCCCTCTCGTTTTGATTGTTTTGAAGACGAAGAGGAAGAGTTGCTCCTTATTTTCTTGGTTTTTTTCTTAAACAACATACACTCCAGATTTTCAGATTTGTTCTTGAGGAAGAAGACGATCAGAAAGAAGAGAGAGAGAGAGAGAGAAAGAGAGAGAGAGGTGGGGCCCAATGTTTATTAATAATAAAACATTAAATTAAATAGAAAAAATATAAAAAAATATACAAGAAGGGCATTTTAGTCTTTTTAGTTTTTCGAGGGACCAAAACCACAGTCAAACTAGGCCAAAAGGACTACCAATCCAAAAAATTTGTGGTTTGGACTAAAACCCCAAAAAAATGCATACCACAGGAACCATTTTTGCAATTTTGTCATATATATATATATATATATATATATATATATATATATATATATATATATATATATATATATATATATATATATATATATATATATATAGGGAAGGGTTATTTGGAAAACAAAAAAACCCTAAAAATTATAAAAATGCATAAAAAAAATACCAATACATCACAAAACTTTTTTTGAATTTTTTTATCAAAAAATCGCAGCATTTTTTACAATTTCGCTGAAAAAAAAATCAAATTTTTTTTATTTGTAAAAAAAAAAATTCAAATTTTTTTTTCAGCGATTTTGACCTAAAAGTTGCGATTTTTTGATAAAAAAATTCAAAAAAAAGTTTTATGATCTCTACGTATTTTTTTTATGCATTTTAATGATTTTTAGGGTTTTATTTAGGGTTTTTTGTTTTCCATAGAACCTAAACCTATATATATATATATATTATATATCTATATATATATATATATATATATATATATATAATCTCAATGTAATTGTGCGTCACCAAAGGGCTTGTAGCCCAACAGCATCAGGTGGTGCCCTCCCTCTTTGAGGTCGAGGGTTCAAGTCCCGTCGTGGACATAGGTGGAATATGTGTTGTTAGTTTAGTAGTAGATTAGATTTGCCGGTTCAAAAAAATGTAATTGTGCGTCACTAATCCCATAGTAAAAGTAATATTAAGACTCTCTGGTTCGCTAGTGATGTAACACGATTACCCTAATCATGTGACCGAGACAAAAGTTTGTGTGTGTTTTTAATTCTTCTTTGCATTTTATACTTACGTATGTTAATCGAATGCCTAACAGGGAACTAACACCTTTTTACAAAATCTAAAGGAAAAACACATGTTCCTCTATCTAATGGAGTTATTAGAATGTCTGTTGGTTCGGTGTAAATTTAGTTCGGGTTTTGGTTTGTGTTTCCTTAGCTATATGTATAGTTACCCTTGGGTCATATGTTCACCACTCAAATAATACACAGCGTCATAGTGTAATTAAAATAGCATACACCATTGGTGGATTGAACATTCTGGACCCTCTTTATAGCATTGCAGAAACACAAGACCAAAATTCAAGCATGGTTAACTTAAAAACTAATGAAAATGGTCAAACTGGCCTAACAAGGGACATGAACATCATGGTAAACAAAGAAATGAAATAATTGAAAGTAAAAAAGAATTAAATTAGACCTCGACAAATTGGTATCCACAATCACTACTACAAAATCAAAAATAAAATACGGTTGAAAAAGCAATTAAAATACGGACATTGAAGCGTATTCTAATAGAACGTGTTTTATTTGAAGAAGCAATAAAAATACGGTTATAGAACCGTATTCTATTTAGAAGATATAATACGGTAAACTATGCATAGAATACGGTTGTAGAACCGTAATCTATAAGAATATAGAGTACGGTAATCTAAGTAATAGAATACGATTGCGGAACCGTAATATATAAGAAGATTTAGTACGCTAATCTAGGAAATAGAATACGGGTTGTAGAACCGTAATGTATATATCTATTAATAAAAAAATCAAATATTAAATAGTTTCGAAACCAATTATACCGGTCTTCCGTTTGATACATGGATGTGCGTGTTTATAAAGTTCAGAAATTTAGTCATGAGAAATTATAAAATTGACAACTACAATAAAAAATAAACATAAATACATTAGCTTTTACGAACAATAATAATTGGTCATTCCAAATAATAAAAAGTAACTATAACAAAATAGTAGTTAAAAATAAAGTACTAAGACACAATCATGCTAGACTCAAACCACAAAGGAGAAGGACAATTGTTTTCATTACAAACCTATGACACCTAAAAAAATTAAAAAACAAATAAACTTCTTATGTCTTTTTGCACCTTTCTGATTACTGTGGCTCCATTATTCAAAGTGGACTCGAACCAACCATCAGCAATGAAAAGCTAATCAAGAACCAAAAGTAAATATGAGTCAAGATTTTATATTTTTATGTGTAAAAACAAAGCATATGATACATGACTTTGTTTAAACCGTATAAAGTTAATCAAAATAAATCCAATAATATCAAGTATAGAAAATAGAACTAACCATTAAACACAGGCTTCATTTCATATATTTACTTTGAAAAGTAGTCATACACGCATTGACCACATCGTTCAACAACTTTTCTGGAATGGTGTTTATATCATTCCAAAGGTTCTATATGCAGAATAAAACAAAAAGTCTCATTGAACAAAAGAGACGGTTTGGTGGAATAGACAAAATGAAAAAACAATATTACAAAAGTTACTTACATTCGGGAATGCATATTGTCGATACATGACAAATTCACGCATCCATTTCAACACATAATAGCCACATTCCCAATTAGACGATTGTTGGTTGCACTAAAAAAATAAACATCAGAGGTTTTCTTATGTTATATATATATATATATATATATATATATATATATATATATATGTTATATATATATATATATATATATATATATATATATATATATATATATAGAAAGAGAGAGAGAGAGAGAGAGAGAGGTCAATTACATCAGCAATCGTCCATGTCATTGGATGTGATGTTTCAAAATCTTCATTAAACATTTCAACAGCCCTAAAAGAAAAAACAAATAATATTGTTACAATTTATAGAAAGAAATGTCATCCAAAAATATATAAAAAATATCTTACTTTTCAACATGCTTTATGGCTTTGTAGGAATCAGTCGGATTTCCCGACTTCTTGATGGAATCCAAAATGTAACCAGTGTGTTGATAAGGGCAAATCACAAGCAGCAACCAATGTCGACTAGAATGTTTAAAGTGCTTAGGATAAAAATCAATGAACAAAAACACATACAACAATTATTATAGTAGAATATGGTACCTTTTCCAATATGGGGCAAGAAAAAAGTCTTTTTCTTTATGGAAATTCATTGTTTTAGCGATCTCAGTTGCAACACGATTGTTGTGTTGGTTTGTCTTGTCCTGCTCATCATGGACACATTCTGTTTCAGTGATCGACTATGGGTTTATAAATGTGCATCTATTAACCCCATTTGTTGCAAGAATGGAATGTAGCACTCTGAAACAAAATAGTATATATTATAAAAATAAAATATTTTAAAAGTTTAATATAATGAAAATTAATACACTTACATTTGATACCAAAGTATACAACTGATGTCAAGCGCTTCACTCATGGGGGGGGGGGGGGCAAAGTGGGCAGCTGCACATGACCCAATTTTTTTCATTATATATTTTTATTTAAAAATACAAAATTATAATAAAGATAAGGGCCCTTTTTTTTTTTGTTCGTCCTGGGCCTTTAAGAATATTTCATTTTTCAGGACCGGCCTTGGCTTCACTATTCAATATCTTTAAAATCACATCATGCCTAATGTATGTTTCAATCCTCCCCGGCCCAAACATACCAGGTTCTGACTCAACATGAAATTCTTCAACAAATTTGTTGCTTGTAAAACTACTATACCATGATTGAATGACCGGTATGCCTTGTACTTTCTTTGGTGTCACAAATTTTTGTGTTGCCCTCTTTGCAATTGTTGGCAACCGCTTGGCTGCTTGCCTTTTTTGGTATTGTTGGACCTACATTAACAGACCATTTGACTGTTACATAGGCTTCAAGAATTTCAAGGGACTAATACTAGTTTTGAGCAATTACCTGGTTATCCATAACAGAGGCAACTTTTTTAGTGGGAGGACTTGCATCTTTTTCCACGGATGGAGGCGAGTGGGAGGTCTAGTAGATAGTTAAAGTAAGTGATTAATATAATTATGGATGTACTACTACAATATTAGAAGAAAAATAAAGGATATGCATGTATACCTTAGTAAGAAGAATCGCATGTCTAGGCCACTGAATAAAACTATAAAGTGCTTCCCCTAGGTTATCATCATCACTGGTCGGCACAGGAATATGGAGAGAATGATAGTCACCATAGATTATATCTACTGATACCTTCACATGATCTTTTTGTAAAGGTGTCAAATGTACTATCCCATTTGTAAATGGGTGGACGCGTCCCTTGGCACATCTTCTTTGCACCATGTCGTAAGGTAGCAACAACTCACACTCTGTAGGAACCTGAAACATACATCATGTAGTATATATGTAGCTAGTGCCTTTATATAAGTAATTATTTATGTTATACAGATACACAATACGCACTGATATTTTTCTAATGCATCCACCACTGCTGTCGATTCAAGACTAGTTTTGTTCACCACCGGGCTTGTAACAGTGTCATCATTATTCTTAGCAATCTCACGTCGTAATGAGGCGATCTTATCTTCCATGTCAGCAATCGATTTGGCATGTTCCTCTTGCTTAGCCTTCATCTCTTTCAAAACTAGTATCTCATGTTTTTTCCTATTTTTCTCTTTAATCCCTAGTATAGATTGCTTCAATCCAACATTGTACCCGATTGCCCTCATACGACCAGGATGCTCTGGTCCTAAAACCTCAACCAATAGATCGGATCCTGGTCTAATCTCCAAGTCTCCTTGAGATACTTGCTTTTCCTTCTCTACCTGTACATGTAATCAACATGATCTTGAGAACAAATACCCCATAAGAAACTTTCTTTAAGGGAAATCATAGCAAAATTAAAATAAATGGATTATTATTGTACAATGTTATCTACTAAGGGCTCCATATCTGGTGTTACAATCAATGCCCCTGAGGAATCGCGTTTTAACCGAGCAAATATATAATCCCTTGCTCGTTCGCTTGATATCTGGTGGGCTTTTGTCAATACACCAGACTCCATCTCTTGCTCCCATCGAGGTCGCATGCCACGATACCCTTGTGGGCCTAAACGGGGCGGGTTCTTGTTCATCATCACACTTGCTGTTGCTTTCACTCTTATTTCCTTCATATATGAGGAACAAAATTACAAACATTACAACATAAATAACCTCACCAGTAAGAAAGTAAATGTGTCACTTCTTATGAGCTAATGGAGAAAATGTAGTAAATAATTACCAAGAGTTTCATACCTTAAATTCGGGCTTGGACTTTTGCTTTACAAAATAGTTCCACATGTCTTTGTCTAGGTAGGGGTATTTTTCTAACGGATCAATGCGTTTGTCCATGATCTTGACAAGCTTGGACTTGTAGCTCCTCCATTGTTGATTGCAAACTTTAAGTACCTGAGCTTTGTAATCATCATTTGGTATGTTCCAGTGAGTCTGTAGTAAAAAGTGTATAGTAACTATTATTAACATATATAATTATATTTAATATAAACACACATAACAACTTTTAGTTATTATACCTTAATATTTAACCACAACTCATCAATCTCAGGTTGAGGCACTTCATTCCACTGTTTTAGGATAGAAATTCTAGTTCTCACAGTGACTCCACAATAGGTGGTGAATTCAAATCTGTTATTTCCGATAGTTTGACCTAACTCATCAAACTCAATTTGTAAATGTACTAATTTGTGTTTTGGCTTATCCTTTATAAGAGACACACTCCTCCCTTTCCTTTGTGGGCGACTCATTGTATTCCTACTGGAACAAATAAGATATCAAGACTAAATAAACTCTCAAGAGTTGTCAGAAAAATTACATCTTATCAAGTCATAAAAACACAATACATATCAACAACAAAAAAACCAGAGTAAATATCAGTAATAAGATAATCATAGTACATATCAACAATAAAAAATAGCATTTTTTCACTTGTTTGTCGTCTTACAGACTCCTAAATTACTCAAAAACCAAAACTTTGATAATTTTATCACAATACTTTGTAAACAGATGACAAATTTTTAAATATTCATCTGGACATTATCGTGCAAAATAGAAATTATATAGTATCTGGAAAAGACATTTTTTTCTCTATACTCGAACCTGAGAACAATTAAAAGTAAGAAACATTCTTTCTCTTACCTCGAATCTTAGGTAATACCTACGCACAGTGGTGAAAAAAAATCAGATTTGACTGCAAACGGTTGTGGTGCTGCAACAATGGATATCGATTTTGAGAGGGAAAGCTCAAAATTGGGTATTGTTTGATGTTGACAGTTTGGGAATCTGTCATCCAGCAGCTAGAGTTTTATCCACGGGATTTCAGCAGTGCCAGGTGAGTCTCCTCACCATACCGATGGGTCTAAGGCACCAAGGTCGGCCCATTCAGTTAGTTGTAGTGTTTATTGTAGATTCACTATTGATATGTCTGGTACGCATGTATATGTGGTATGCTAATGATTATGTGGTATGCTATTATGCTAGCTGTCTTTGTGATACTTGCACGGAAGACCATGGCGGAGCCGATGACACTGGATGTAAGACCATGTGGAGAGCCCATGGCTTTCCTATTAAAGACCATGGGGGAGCCCATGACACTTGGATGTAAGACCATGTGGAGAGCCCATGGCTTTCCTATTGAAGACCATGGGGGAAGCCCATGACACTTAGGTGTAAGACCATGTGGGGAGCCCATGGCATCCTGAAGTAAGACCCTGGGGGGAGCCCACGACATCCGTATATGTTTATATGCATGGTTATCTGATTGATATGGTTATGTGATTGATATAGTTATCTGATTGATATGGTTATGTGATTGATATAGATATCTGATTGATATGGTTTATGTAGCTGTTATAACTAATGTGGATTATGTGGTTATGTGGATTATGTGGGGTATGATCTGGGAAACTCACTAAGCTTCGTGCTTACAGTTTTGTTTATTGTTTCAGGTATCATCGATTTGGAAAAGAAGAGTTCGGATTGATCGCAGTGCTCACACCTATGATTTCCGCAACGAATGATTTTGGGATGAACTCTGATAAATGATTTACTTAACGATGATTTGAAATGTTTGTAATAAATGGTATCAATGTTTTAGCTAAATTAAAAATGAAATTTTTACCCTTGATTTTTGGGTCGTTACATTGTTGAAGGAGTTGTTGGCGGTGGCGATGAAGAAGTTGGTGATGGTAATGGGGAGGCTAGTGGGCTGGAGGTACCTAGTACCATTGTGCTACCCTTCGGGGTGAAAATATTTGATAAAGCTTTGTTATTTGTTTTTCTTTCCTTTGTGTACGGATTCAACCCTTCGTGGCATGGACTTATTTTGGGCCCTGTGTGGCCATGTTTGTAATGACTTGCCTATCTATATGCTAACTTTGGTTTTATGTATCTCCCTTTTGTGTTTCCCTAGCTTCCCCTCTTATTTGGTTAAGTGCTCCCCCCTCCTCTTTTTTGTTGTTGCATGAGGTCTCTTTTGGCTTTATGGGATATGTTGAAAATCTAGTGCTTAGTTTAAACAATTTTCCAAAGATGTGCTTGGCATAGCTGTGCAGGGGGTGTTCTGTGTTTATAATATACTAAGCATTTATGGCTATCTTGAGCCTTTAAGTTTCCTGTATTGCATTGAGCAAATTTTGCAACGAAATACACTAATTACTTGACGTTGTAATGAGTACATTGAGCTCTCATTGTAATGAGTACATTAAGCTCTTTTTCCATGAGACACACTAAGTATTTAGCATTGTAATGAGTACATTAAGCTCTTTTGCCATGAAATACACTAAGTATTTAGCATTGTAATGAGTACATTAAGCTCTTTTTCCATGAAATATACTAAGTATTTAGCATTGTAATGAGTACATTAAGCTTTTTTGCCATGAAATACACTAAGTATTTTAAGGGTGCACTAAGCATGAAATACAATGAGTATTGTTCATCGGCTTGGATGATCAATCCAGCCAGTACATCATCACGAGGTCATTATTATCCCCTTTGGATATGGGTTTCTCAACTCTCCCCTTGTTTGGGTGGGGATATTTTCACTTGCTTTCCCTGGCCAGGTGTTGGTGGAGACTAAAAATGGAATCTCTTGAGGTTCCTAGAATTCCTTGTTCTTAGGATTGGTCTGCCTTCGACTGTCTCAAGCGTGTAGGACCCGTTCATGTGTGCTCCAGTTACATTGTACGGTCCTTCCCACGTGGGACCTAGCTTCCCTTATGGCTGGGTGTGACTTGCCTCATTTTTCCTTAGGGTATAGTCTCCCACTTTGTATGCTTTCTCCTTCACCCTTTGATTGTAGTACCCTTCTACTACACTCTTATAGGCTGCTTGTCGAACGTTCGACTGCTCGCGCTTTTATTCGATGAGGTGTAGGTTCTGCCTCAGGTCCTCATCGTTGTTCTTGCCCTGGAAATGCATCGTGCGTGGTGAGCTAAATCATCAGTTCTGCCGACAACATCGCTTCTGCGCCATAGGCCATGCTGAATGGGGTTTCCTTCATGCTCGTCCTTGGGGTCGTCCTATATGACTAGAGTACTCCTGGAAGCTCTTCCACCCAATTTCCTTTGGACTTTCCTATCCGTTTTTAATCCCATTCATGAGTGTCCACTTGGATACTTCTGTCTACCCGTTAGCTTGGGGGTGTGCTAACGACGTGAATCGTTGTTCTATTCCTTTTTTCTACACACCAGCTTCTAAATGGGTTTTTTCACAAATTGCAGACCAATATCGCTGACCAGTGCTTTGGGTGTTCCGAATCTCGTTATAATGTTTTTCCATAAAAACTTGATCACCTGTCTCCCTATTATGCACGCTAACGGCTCGACTTTGATCCACTTGGTAAAATAGTCCACTGCGACTACTAGGAACTTCACCCTCCCCGGGGCTTCGGGGAAGGGCCCCATGATGTCGATCTTCCACTGGTAGAAGGGCCAATTTCTTACGATACTTGTTAGGGGTGCTGGTGGGGCTCCCTACACCGATGAGTAGGTTTGGCATTCCACGCATGTTCGTGTTAATGCTGTTGCGTCTCGATGAATGTCGGGACAGTAAATCCCCATCCTAAGTATCTTCCCGGTGAGGGCCCTTGCTCCTTCATGTGTGTCACCTGTTCCGGCATGCGTTTCTTGGAGTGCCTTCTTGTCGCTGGTCTCATCCACACATCTTAACCATGGGGTCATGAATCCTTTCTTATATAGCATTCCTTTGACCATCGTATATTCTGGGGCTTTTATTCTGATTTTCCTAGCCTCTATATGATTATCTAGCAGGATGTTGTGCTGCAAGTAGTCGACAATTGGTGTCATCTAGTTTGGTTGTGCCAACGACAATGCATGCACTCAGTGCTCCTCTATGCTCCTTTCTTTGAGTACTTCGACCAGGACTTCCTTGGAGAGGTGTCCGAAGCATGTCAACACAAGTTTACTAAGGGCGTATGCCCTCCTATTCTTGCTTCGTGGTAACTTCTTGATAGTGAAATTTTTGAATGGTTTTACTAGCCTCTGGACAGCCTTTCCGTATTTTTCCATTCGCTTATCTCTTGCTTCAAATTCTCCTCTAACTTGGTTGGATGCCATCCTTGAGTCCATTAGGGCTGTTACTAGGGATTAAAGTGGGTCCAAACCCGGACCGGATGGAATCAGACCCGGAAAACCCGGAACCAGTTAACGGGATTTTATAGAACCGGAAACTGGACCGGTATATAGGAACCAGTTCCGGTTCGATTCCGGGTACAGTACCGGGTAAAGTGGGTCTAGAACCGGAAAGCCCGGAAACATCAAAGTGGGTAGGTTGGAACCGGATAAAGTGGGTTTAGAACCGGAAAACCCAGAAAAACCAGAATTTTTTGGTAATTACTTACTACTTAGTGGGTTGAACTTTGAAAATTTTCATATTGATATCCCGAGTTTAGGGGAATGTAACTCATTGAATATGAAACCAAAATTGACAAAATTATAGTCTAAAATCATGTACAACCTATAAACTACACTCTGAAAAAAACCGCATGTCAATCCGACTTTAAACGAATGAAATATGCATGTGTTAACATTTTCACAGAATACAAAGTACAAAAACAAATAGTTGAAAAGTTGAAAATTTTCAATTTTGATATCCCGACTTCGGGGGACTGTAAATCATTGAATACTAAACCAAAAATGATAAAATTATAGTCTAAACTTATTTACAAACTCTAAACTACGAGTTGGTAAAAACCATACATCAATCCGACTTCAAACGAATTAGATATGCATGTTTTAAAACTTTCACAAAATACAAAAAAATTGAAAAACTAAAAACTTTCAGCTTTGATATCTCCACTTTGGGGGAGTGTAAGTCAGTGAATATAAAACTAAAAATGGCAAATTTATAGTCTAAAATCATGTACAAACTCTAAAATACACGTTGGAAAAAACCGCATGTCAATCGGAGTTGAAACGAATAAGATATGCATCTTTTAAACGTTTTACAAAAACCGGTTCTAGTTCCTAACACCGGTTCTGGTTTTTAGACCCGGTTTACCCGGACCCGATGGACCCAAACCCGGATTACCCAGAACCCGAATAAAGCCAATTTTTAAACTCGGAACCAGAACCGGTTCTATATATTCCGGTTCTAACAGTTCCGGCTCCGGTCCGGTTTTTCGGTTCTAAATCTCATCCCTAGATGTTACTCTGTTCGCCCCCATCCACTTTGCTAGCTGTAGGCCAGCTATCAAAGCTTCGTACTCAGCATTGTTGCTGGAGGTCAG